GTGACTGACCTGTCAATACATCTTTCTTTCCATTCACTTTGCTCTCCTTGCAGTTAAAATGTAGAGATGGTAGGCTGCTCTTAAAGTTTTCCTGGATATAAACTCTAGAAATGTTAGAACAATGAGTGAGCAAGGGACCTCCCATTTTAATAAGTCTAGCATATTGTGCATAATATTGTAGCTGCTTAATATACACATGAGTGAATGAGTAAATGGTCTTTCTGGTAAATGGTCTTTCTGGTAATTGGAAACAAAAGCTAGCTCAGAAAGTAAAAATAATTCATGTTATATAGACTGATTCCTGAATAGGGAAAAGATAGATTGGAAGACTTCTAAATTCATTTCAATTTAAAATGCTGAAATATCTTCATAAAACTAGGAAATATTCATGAAGCCACGTAGAGTATGTGAACACTTATTTCATCCATACAGGCAGGATTTATTTATGTAAATTAGGATTTAAAATATATGTACTGAACATAAGCAAAGTAGTATATATAGGTAAGTAAATAGATACTGTACACAGTTTTGTTTTGTTTTGTTTTGCTTTTTTTAATATTAGGAAGTTAAGTCTTCTCTACTTAGATCTATCTGGATATAAGGGCACATAGGTGTGCTCCAGGATAAACAAAGGATGTTTATTAAAAGTGTTTATTAAAAATACAGTCATCTCTTTTAAATTCTTATTTTAATTGAATTATGAATAAAATAACGCACTTCCAAAAGAAGGCAGGGTGGATAGCCAGTTTTTTATGCCATGTATTGTACCTAATACACCTACTCCTCAATTTTATCTCACATTCATGACAATAGTAAAAAATCTATTGTCTGACTATTTTGTGCATTAATAATGTACATCTAGCAGTAACAAACATCAAGGTGCAAGGTGAGAGTAACACTGGCTATGATGGTTAAGGTTATGTGTCAATATGGTGGGCTATGATTCTCAGTTTGGCAGTTATGCAGTGATGTAATTTGGCATTTATATAATGATGTAATTTGGCAGTTATGTAATGATGTAGTCATCCTCCATTTTGTGATCTGATTTGGTCATTCTCCATCTTTGCATAATGACCTGGTCTTTGGAACCTACGCATGTAGATAAGGAGGAGGGTGTTTACTTCCTGCCTAGATAAGTTCCTATGAATGTCTTTGTATCATTAGAAACATCTTTCCCTCTATCTTTATGTAGACATTTCTGTCTCAGGTGCACATTGAGGTACATAGTTTACGTCTCGTAATAACTCAAAACTCAATAATACAAATATTGTTTGTTCTTATCAAATTAATACATTAGAAGAGAAACGCCACAATATTGACAAAAAATAAAATAAAAGCCATGATGCTCATATCATGCATGACACATTAATTGTAGAATATAAAAGACACCGTCATTCCCAAAACATTACCAGTTATAGAACATATGTTGTTGTAGTTAGGTGCCATCGAGTCAGTTCTGATTCATAGTGATCCTGTGTACAACAGAAAGAAACTCTGTCCAGTCCTGCACCATTCTCACAATGGTTGCTGTGTTTGAGCTCATTGTTGCAGCCACTGTGTCAATCCATTGCATTGAGGATCTTCCTCTTTTTTGCTGACCCTCTACTTTACCAAGCACGATGTCCTTCTCCAGGGACTGGTTCCTCCTGATAGCATGTTCAAAGTACATGAGACGAAATCCTCGCTTCCAAAGAGCATTCTGGCTGTACTTCTTTGAAGACAGATTTTTTCTTTCTTCTGGCAGCCCATGGTATATTCAATATTCTTTGCCAGCATCATAATTCAAAGGCATCAACTCTTCTTCCGTCTTCCTTATGCACTGTCCAGCTTTCACATGCATATGAGATGATTGAAAATACCATGGCTTGGGTGAGGCGCACCTTAGTCCTCAAAGTGACATCTTTGCTTTTCAACACTTTAAAGTTTTTGCAGAACATTTGCCCAACGTGATATGTCGTTTGATTTCTTGACTGCTTGCATGGTTGTTGATTGTGAATCTAAGTAAGATGAACTCTTTGGCAACTTCAATCTATTCTTTGTTTATCATGATGTTGTTTATTGGTCCAGTTGTGAGGATTTTTGTTTTCTGTATATCTGGGTGTAATCCATATATTTTATAGAAATATATATGAATGAAATAAAATTCTGGTAAATTGATGATTTGGTGAAATAGTCACTTGACAAACTGCTAAACCTGGTGAAGGATTAACTAACGAATTATTCTGTAGTCATTATCCTACAATTTTTTAAAACAGAGCCCTATCGTGTAATGCTTCTGAATCCCAGTTCTGGAGTCAGATTGTCAGGTTTCAAATCCTAATTCTGACACTAAATAGATGACCAAATGATTATCTCTCTAACATGGTTTTAGTACAATGACTGAATGATGAGCTCTAAGTAAAGTGCTTAGCACAGCACCGGGAACACAGAAACATCAAAATAATGTCAATTGATGTTATTTTTAATAATTTAGAAGATGCCTGTTAGAGTCTACTCAGACTGGTAGTTTTATCTTTGAAAGTTAAAATTGGCATCGATAGTACAACTTCTGAGAGATCCTGCATATATTCAATCACAAAATTTGTGCTTTGATTTTTAAATAGATGTTTTTTATTATGCATTTTCTGTGTCTATGAATTAATTGACTTTCCTAGAACAATACATGTGGGTTTAGGTTTGTAGTCCTAATAATTAAGAATCATATGACTTTACAGTTAATTTAGTTCATTCCTTACTCTATTCTTGCTTTCTTTTCTGTCCTTCCCTACTTATGCTACGATCTTTTTACTTATGACTTAGTGGTCTGCAGTGTTCTCCCAATTCCAACATATCTGTAATTAGATTTATTTAGAATGGAAAATATCAGACCCCAGATAAGATCTTATTAGCAATCGCTTCAAAATTCATTGTGACTTATTCATCAGTTTGTAAAAATATGCGTTAAGGATACAAGTTAGCTGTTTTCAATGTTCTTGGGAAAATTTTGTGGTTTAGAAAAGTGAGTTTCAATGCATATGGCACATTTTTTTAAAAATTGTACAGTATAAGTTCACTTATTCTAGAAGACTTTAATAGCAGAAGCTAGCAGCAGCAGCAGCAATATCTGCAAACACCAAGCACTTCAATACATATTCTAACTTATATTAACTTGTTAGCATATTCTCAAACTTCTCTAAAATTGCAAAAATTTAGGAGCCTTAACTAATTATTATTATTGTATTATTCCTTAAAAAAAGAAAAGATGTGTGATGTGACAACAAATGTACCCAATTATAAGATTACACAGCTACATAAGATTATTTTGAAAGGCTTTAAAAAATTATAAATAACAAAAAGGTACAAAATTTTTATTTAATTGTATGAATAGTTAACAGCTTCTGATGAGGCTTCTAACAGGAATTTGGCTATTTTATCATGTTGCCTTTGAGTTGATTCTGATTCATAGTGACCTTATAGGACAGAGTTGAACTGCCCTATAGGGTTTCCAAGGAGCAGCTGGTGGGTTCGAACTGGCAGCCTTTTGGTTAGCAGCCATAGCTCTTACCCACTGAGCCACCAGGGCTCCTCCAGCTTTTTTTTTTTTTTTAAATACAGTGTATACAATTCATTATTCTATTATTTGACATAGGCTTCCTGGGGGGCACAAGCAGTTTGCTCTTGATTACTAACCTGAAGGTTGGCAGTTCGAACTCACCCACTGGTGCCACAGAAGAAAGGCCAAGAAAACCCAACGGAGCAGTTCTACTCTGTAACAGGAGTTCACCATGAGTCAGAGTCAACTTGAGGGCAATGGTTTATTGTTTGACATAGAACAAATTAAGGAAATGATTTCAGTATTTAACAATAGCATATAACAATTATAATCACTGATAGAAAGCAGTAATTTAATTAGTATGCCTATTTAAGAAATTAATAATTTATATAATTTTGTGGTAAAGTAAAATGAATGGGCAAACTATTACATTTGACCCGTTAATTGTCCTCCCTAAGTACCATCCTCAGTCATCCAAACCATTCTGTTCTTCAGTTCTTTGGGCCTCACGTTCTTTGTCAGCATAAGGAAGTAACTGGATAAGGTGAGCTGCCCATAGGCCCTCTCTTCTATAAGTCCCAATATGGGGCTGCCTTATGCTCACAGGCAGAAATCTGGTTGCGCAATGGTTAAGCTCTTGATTGTTAACCAAAAATCAGCAGTGGAACCCACCAGCTGCTCCCCAGGAGAAAGATGTGACAGTCTGCTTCTGTAAAGATTTACAGCCTTGGAAACAGGCATTTCTATTCTCTCCTATAGGGTTGCTATGAGTTGAAACTGACTTGGTGGCAGTGGGTCTGGTTTAATGCTCATAGGGTCACTATGAGTAGGAATCATTCAGTGGCAACAAATCTGTGGTTCATTTGTTTAATCCTAATCCTAATTATTAATTTCTGTGCTTTTTAGAAGCATTTTATATTTTTTATGATACGACTTTATTAGAGGCACACAGTCTACTCTTAATAAAATGGACCAATAAATCAAAGTTTGTTCATTTTACTTCACATATCCATTTTCAAACATTCAGGATATGTAAGTACTGGCTTTTGACTAACATTCTTAAAATTTTGATAGTTTAATATTATAACTTAAATAGACATAAATAGGTAGGTAGGTAGATAAATAGATAGCACACATAAAATTTTTTATAATGGCATTCCTTGAAAAAGATAATACTAAGAGAACAGAAATCAAGTCAGCACTTGGATTTAACTTGCATCTGCAAGCCAGGAAAGCACTTTAAAAATAAATCTAGTTTTAATGGCATCTACTGAGAGCTGTAGAAACTATTGGATTTTTAATTTCTAGAGATCTTAAGGGACCTTATATGGAGCACTCTTTTTGAGAGCTCCCTGAGTGTTTCTTCCCAGAAGACTTATACTTATTGATAGGTTATTATTGATTTATTTAGAATACATAACTTTCATCTGCACATTTTTCTTCTCTTTTTTTCCCCCTTTCTATCTAGTATACAGTATGGACTGCCCTCTGGGTCATCTGGAATGTATTCATTATCTGCTTTTATCTGGAAGTAGGTGGACTCTCTAAGGTGAGTTTATCATGCTTTTAAAGTAACTTAAAAAAGAGTACACTCATTGATAACTATTATGACTGCATACTATCATGCATATAAGTATAGCGATATAAGTAATATTACAAATGGAATTACTAATCTGAAGAGATTTGGGGTACCATTCAGCAAAGACTGACCTTGAGAAAATCTTAATATCATGGAACTTCAAAGCAATGGCTTATGGTTTAGTTTGTTATCCTAAAGTAAAACTTGGCTTCCAACTTATTCTTGTGTTCATTTTTAAAAGACATAATGTCAAAGTGACCACAGCCCCAAATGTTAAGTGAAAAATGGTTTTGAATGTTCTTGTACTTTAAGTAGGAGAAGGAATTGACTAAAATGTTAATGTAACAAACATGAACAGCAAATTGCTATCTTTGTTTGAATATTAATTTTGGAAAAAAAAATTTGACAAAAATGAAATCCTTGTACATGTAAGTGGAACATACATTTACTAACACATAAGTGCATTTGTGTGGCAATTCCTATTTTAAATTCCTGATCAGACAGAAAAGTTGTCTGAACGCAACATGAGACAAATGTTATTTCCATCTGTCTAGAACAAATGTCAGCATAGCACATGATTTCATTATGACTCCTGTAGAAACATCTTTCGATTGCCACCCAAATGTAAGCGCAATTCAGTTAAGTTTCTAGATGTGTTTCTTAAACATTTTTCTTGTAAACCTGCACAGTTTCCCTGTAGACAAGAAACTTAACAGTATAATTACAAAAAGACTGAGAAAGATGTTTTTTTTTTTGGATTTCTCATTACTATCTATATTTGTACTACCTTAATCTATTGTTTTATGGAAAGTCTCAAATTTCCTGAGTAATGTGAAGGTCTTCCACTGGCGTTTGTGGCTTTGATCTTAGAAAATAACCTAGACTAGCATGGGTGCTTTTAGGATTGTTAGGTTCCATGGAGATCTTTATGGTAGCCATGCGTACTTGATTCAGTCAAGAAGCAAAACTCCTTTCAGGATTTTCTCCAAAACCTCCAGAGGTGGTTTCTGTTTGTTCTTCACTATAATGACTTTATAATTAGAACTTGTCATCATTTTCTCACATTGGCAAATGCATTCAGGAGCCAAAAATATTTCCCTTGCTACGTTCCATACATATGCACTAACATTTACTTTGAATGTTTGTGCTATTAATTGCATTTCACCACTCACTTCTATGACAGAAAAAAAGCACTTAAATAAGTACCAGCTGTCTTCTGTAACATGCAAATTATAAAGTAGCTTTGAAAACCCAAATCCTATGAATAAATTAATTATGAATAATAAGTTATGTAGAGCATTTTTCAACCCATTTTTGTATCTTGTAACTTCAATGGTCGTTTTAAACCATGTTTTTGTTTCACTGGGAGGCAATTATCCTTTATTTTCTTCCATATAAGCTGATTTGGAAAAAATTGCCAATTAGACCAAGAGAAATGTGTCCTGTGGATTTGGCAACATGGTATGTTGGAAAAAGACAGAATTTCAAAGCATAAGGTGTTAGTTCAAGTCTTGTCTTTGACATTTACTAATTAAGGGTCCTGGACAAACCATTTCACCATGCTGAGTCTTTATGAAAGGATAATAACAATACCAAAAACAAAAAACCCAAACCCCTTGCTATCCAATCGATTTCAACTCATGGCCACCCCATATGTTACGGAGTAGAACTGCTCCATAAGGCTTTCTTGGCTGTAATCTTTGCAGAAGCAGATTGCTAGGCCTTTCTTCTGCAGCACCACTGGGTGAGTTTGAACTGCCAACCTTTAGGTTAGCAGTTGATTGCAAACATCTGGGGCCACCCAGGGATCAATAGCAGTACCAGTTTTGCTAATAAAAATAGTACTCAATGTTTGTTGGGTGCCTGGCACTATTTTGGAGCCCTGGTGGTGCAGTGGTTAAGAGCTCAGCTGCTAACCAAATGGTCAGCAGTTCAAATCCACCAGCCGCTCCTTGAAAACCCAGAGTAGAGCAGTTCTACTCTGTCCTGTAGGGTCGCTGTGACTTGGAATTGACTCGATGGCAATAGGCTTGGTTTTGGTTTGGTAGTACTATTTTAAGCACATTAACTCTGATAAGCTTCAAAACAACCCTGTGAGGGAGATATATATAATTATATATCTGTATAGATAGATAGGTATGGATATATCTGTCAGTTTGTTGTACTGTGGTGGCTTGCGTGTCACTGTGATGATAGAAGCTATGTCACTGGTACAGGCAGTCCCCAGGTTACAGGTGAAATCCATTCCTTACTGTGTCTTTTACTCGAATGTTTAGGTAAGTCGGAACAGGTGCCTACAGTTCTTATTTAACCTTACATGTAGTTTAGTGCAAGAAAAGGCTCTAAGCCTTCTCAGTGATTTAAAAGCTGCATGTACAACAAGTGGGGGGGGGGGTGATTGTGATGAAGAATTTGCTGCGAGTAGGAGTTTGTTCAGTTGTTTCAAAGTGAGGGCAAATTTACAGAACGTTAAAGAGCAAGTATGAGTTGTCCATATGTTGGATGTTTGCAACCCAGGGACTGCCTGGATTTCAAATACCAGCAGTTGGAAAGGTTTCAGTGGGGCCTCCAGACTAAGACAGACTAGGAGGAAGGACCTGGTGATATACTTCCAAAAAAAAAAAAAAAAATTAGCCAGTGAATAATTTTCTGATAGTAATTATTCTGATAATGATTATCTGATATAGTGCTGGAAGATGAGCCCTTCAGATCAGAAGGCACTCAAAATATAACTGAAGAAAAGCTACCTACTCAAAGTAGAGTCAACCTTAATGATGTGGATGGAGTAAAGCTTTCTGGACCTTCATTTGCTGATGAGAAGAGACAGCTGCAAATATCCATTAGTAATTGGAACATGGAATGTATGAAGTATGAGTCTAGGAAAATTGGAAGTCATGAAAACTGAAATGGAATGCTTGAACATTGATATCCTAGGTATCAGTGAGCAGAAATGCACTGGTATTGACCATGTCGAATCAGACAACCATGTGATCTACTATGCCAGCAACAACAAATTGAAGAGGAATGGCATCAGATTCATTGTCAAAAAGAACATTTCAAGATCTATCCTGAAGTACAATGCTATTAGTGATAGGATAATATCCATATGCCTACAAGGAAAACCAGTTAATACTACTATTGTTTAAATTCCTCACCAACCACTAATGTCAAAGATGAAGAAAATTGAAGACTTTTACCAACTTTTGCCGTCTGAAATTGATCAAACATGCAATCAAGAGGCATTGATAATTACTGGTGATTGAAAGATGAAAGTTGGAAACAAAGAACAAGGATCAATTGTTGGAAAATATGGCCTTGGTGATAAAAATGACACCGGAGATCACATGGTAGAATTCTGCAAGACCAAGGACTTAGTCATCAGAAATATCTTTTGTCAATAACATAGTCTATGACTATACACATGGACCTCACAAGATGGCATCTACAGGAATCAAATCAATTACATCTCTGGAAAGAAATGATGGAGAAGCTCAATATCATCAGTCAGAACAGGGGCTGATTATAGAACAGATCACCAATTGCTCATATGCAAGATCAAGCTGAAGCTGAAGAAAATTAGAACAAGTCTATGAGAGCCAAAGTAGGACCTTGAATATATCCCCCTTGAATTTAGAGACCATCTCAAGAATAGATTTGGCACACTGAACACTAATGACCGAAGACCAGAAGAGCTGTGGGATGACATGAAGGACATCATACATGAAGAAAGCAAAAGGTCATTAAAAAGACAGGAAAGAAAGAAAAGACCAAAGTGGATGTCAGAAGAGACTCTGGAACTTGCTCTTGAATGTAGAATAGCTAAAGAAAATCGAAGAAATGGTGAAGTAAAAGGAGCTGAACAGAAGATTTCAATGGGCAGATCAAGAAGACAAAGTAAGGTATTATAATGAAATGTGTGAAGACCTGAAGTTAGAAAGCCAAAAAGGAAGAACATACTTGGCATTTCTCAAGCTGAAAGAATTGAAGGAAAAATTTAAACCTTGAGTTGCGGTATTGAAGGATTCTAGGGGCAAAAAATTGAATTACACAGGAAGCATCAAAAGAAGATGGAAGGAATGTGCAAAGTTACTATACCGAAAACAAACTGGTCAACATTCAGTCATTTCAGGAGGTAGCATATGATCAAGAACCCATGGTACTGAAGGAAGAAGTTCAAGCTACACTGAAGGCGTTGGCAAAAAAACAGGACTCTTGGAATTGACAGAATACCAACTGAGATCCTTCAGAAAATGGATGCAACTCCAAAGATGGCACCGAGCCATGGTCTTTTCAATTGCCTCATATGCATGCGAAAGCTGGACAATGAAAATGAAAGACTAAAGAACTGATGCATTTGAATTATGGTGTTGGAGAAGAATATTGAATATACCATGGACTGCCAGAGAAATGAATAAGTGTATACAGCTAGAATGCTCCCTAGAAGCGAGAATGGCAAGACTTTGTCTCGCTTACTTTGGTCATGATGGAGAAGGACATCAGGCTTGTTAGAGAGTCAGCGAAAAAGAGGAAGACCCTCAAAGAGATAGATTGACACAGTGTCTGCAACAATGGACTCAAACATACCTATTACTGTGAGGATGGCACAGGACCGAGTAATGTTTCGTTCTCTTATACTGTATTAGGACGGCTATGAGTTGGAAGTGATTCTGCAAATTAGAGCAGAGTAAGGACCCTTGAGAAACCCAAGCACTTCTGCCTCCCTTCTAGGTTGAGCTCCTTTTGTAAGAAATTCCTTTCTGTATCTACTAGTAAGTTCTCCATCCTCTGCTATTTCATGAAAGCATTTCTTCAAATTACCCACTTGGGTAAATTAATAGAAGCCTCTCTCTATATATACTTTGCTTTTTTCCCCCAAAATATGTTTTAAAATTTTTTAATAAACTTCATTTTTTAGATTAGTTTTAGGATTGTGGACAAACTGTGTAAGAAGTACAGACAGTTCCCATGTA